TTCTTTTCCCTTCTTTTCTTTTCCCTTCTTTTCCCTTCTTTTCTTTTCCCTTCTTTTCCCTTCTTTTCTTTTCCCTTCTTTTCCCTTCTTTTCTTTTCCCTTCTTTCCCTTCTTTTCTTTTCCCTTTCAGCATTTTATGCCTCATCCTGCCAGGATGTTGTACCTTCAAATAAAGCCACCTCTCATTCTTTAAACTTATAATGGCTAACAATCCAACCTGTTCAACTTTTAGTAAAGGAGCAAAATGAAGAATGCTTTGATCAAGTTCTATACATAACAAGTGCTAATTTCCTGTCTTTTCATCATACCGAAACAAGGAAACTGTGTGCAGTGCTGTGATTGTTTTGTTTTCTTTTCAGTATAAACCTTTCTGTTCAAATGAATTCCTGGAAATTTTGTCCTTTTATCAAGGAAGTTTTCTGTACAAGATTACAGAAAATTAAAGCATTTTCTGTTTTTAGAAATCTTTATTTCATGTGATGTATTGTAGTACCTAAGTTTCAGAATTTTAGTGTTGAGATACTGTGCTTGTCAGGCAATGTGAATCATTTTATAACCTGTAATTATGTAGTTTGCTTAGTTGAAGATGGTAGTTTTTGAAAAGGGATTTGGATGGTGAAGGCTTCCATTCTAAGGCTTGAACAGTCCTTGTTCACGATTTTTGGTGAAATTTGCATTTGAAGAATGGCTATAATGCTGGAGGCATCATAACCATGAGTAGCTATTGGCTATTCCCCATAAATAGCCAATGACATTGCAACTGACCAAGCCAATGTAGGCTCAACTGGTTGAGGATTGCAGATTTTCCTCCCCAAGTAAATATCATCGAACTAGAGGGATTTCTTTTTAAAAACAACCCTGTGGTTTAGTCACTGTTACTGAGACTAGCTTTTTTTTTTATAAATCGGATGTATTAATCAATTGGCTTGAGCTCCTGCCTCAGTAGCCCAGTAATGTGACTGTTGTACAACCATTTACAACAGGGCAAGAAGCTGGTTAGCGTTTCAAGTTTTTTTGGTGCAGAACCATATGTTGTCATGATTTACATATGTAATGAACATTCTGAAAGTAATCAAGTAATTTAGCAAAGCTTTGTGATAACAATGGATGAGAAAAATTGCCACACAAGTCCAAATAGAATGGGCATGCTGATGTTTCTGGTGTGGGGTGGGTTGAAAATGTAACTGTCTATTCATTTGCCCCAGTTAAATTAATCTTATTGATGTGTAATCTTGTTGCTGTGTGCTTTGCTTCCCATTCCACCATTTGTCTATGCCTTTTCTTAAAAAATGTTGCCATTATTTTCCTTTAGTCTTGTACATTTTTTTTGACCCTCTATCAGTTACTCGGTCATTCTTTTCTCAGTCACTCTTTCTCCACACCATTTTTAATCTGCTATTCTGTTTTAAATTTGGAAACAAAAAAAAAAATTGTGCCATTTTTGATCTGTGGATATGAATTGCCTGGTCTCTTTCTTTCTTTTCTTTCTTTCTTTTCTTTCTTTCTTTCTTTCTTTCTTTCTTTCTTTCTTTCTTTCTTTCTCATTGCTTGTAACAACATCAGATGTTTGTTCACACATGCAGGTTTTTTTCTTTCAGTCATGATCACAGCGGTACTTGAGATTCACTTTGAATGTGGAGTGACAATTAACCACTAACCGCTTTCTAATCTCTCTCATGTAACAGCTGGTAAAATGTCTGTATGTAGTGACAGACAGACAGCCTTCCAATATTGATCATGTCACTTGTAACCAATATTTCTATAACAACATTTAAGGTTGCTGTGGCAAATATTACTCTATAGATGACCAGGAGTTTGATCAGAAAACCCTTTATTTCTGGATTTTGGCAAGTGGATTTATCGCAATTATTGATGATTAGTATAATATCCACCTACAGTTGCAATCTGAACTATTTTTGCTGTTTGTTTTTATAAAAGACAGCTTACTATAGCTTGTTTTAATACAGCAGCTCTGAAATAACAAATTTTTGTGTATGTTCCTTTCTTTTGGAATAAGGTCCTGCTTGAAGTATTGTTACTTTGTATGACCTATTGGAATAAATGATTATAATAAGTTGATCATAAGATTGGTATGACATTTTTTTAAAAATTATATCTACAGCAATATCAAAGTGAAGTTTGCAGCAAGTGGAATACTCTGCAAGGGAATGACCGATTTGATTAAACCACTCATTCATTCTGCAGCACAAGGCAAACTCTGGAACAGCTTGACAAATAGGCACTTTCTCCAGTAAGGAAGAATGAGCTCTGCTGATGTGGCTCAAACCAGTATGTTCCCATCTTTGACCTAGTCTTGTAGGAAACAAAAATCATTCTCATTAAAAGGAGTTCACCTGCAACAATGGATGGCTGGGCAACATACAGCATTTTCCAGCAGTAAGGGTGCAGCAGATACCGCACCAGATTTGACTACAAAATGGCCTTGCCCATCAAGTCCTCAATTAATGTGGATGAAATTGGACTATTCCTCTTTAAAAGACAATTGGTGAAAAGCAAGGTAATGAATATGTCACTGCCACCATGTTGGTGTAGACCATTGCCTTGAAAAGACCATGCCTACTGGGCTTTGAAACCATTTTTGTGGATTAGCATCACAGGATAAAGATTAGTAAAAGTTTGTTATTGTGCATGTTGTCTGCTTTCCTAATCCATGCCTCAAAAAATCATGTAATTAGAGAACTGCTTTGCAAACCCTGACATCATTGGTCTTGAGCATCTGCTGACTTTTTTTTCCTGCCATTCCAGCTAATGATTTTTAGGAGTGATTTTTACGGGTTTTAAAAACCAACCACTGATAACCCAAATATCTGCTATCAAGGCAATCGCTTAAAAGCAGGAACACAGCCCAGCTGTTATAGAAACCATCTTCATGTTGAAGGAGCATTTTAATTGATGATTGGAGCCACAGTCAGAGGATCAGGATGCAGCTAAATAGTCAAGTGAGGTTCTTCTTGCTTTGCTATCGTAGGCTAGCATAGGAATTCCAGCAGAAGTTACCATGTAAACTTCCATGGAAGTGGATGACTCCATCTGCTGTGATGGACCTTTTTTAAAGATAAGGTGATTGTGTAGCTGCAGTACGTTTTTTGTCAACTAAGAGGCTGACAACCCTGAAGAATCAACTGTATGAACGCTCGCCTGCATTCCACCCCCCCCCCCCGCACCCCGAAGTAAAGCTGCAAGGCTATACAGATGCTCCAGGAGTTCACACTTGAATTATTTCGTACAACTTTTTCTCTTTCTCTTCCTCCCCTCCACTCCACCACCACTTCTCCTCCCCCCACCAGTGCTATGTACAGCTTTCCTGTGCAGTTTCTCGACTCTACTTAAGATATTAGGTAGATGGGTCCCTCTGTTTTGGCTTATAATTTTGCTGTTTTTGTTGTAAAATGTGTTTTAGAGAACGGATAAAACTTTGATTAGTTTTACTTTATTGACACACACTCTCTCATTTTGCTCTTGCAGTTACAAGAAGAAAGATAATGACCTGATAACAGCACAAGCTCGGCTGAAAGATTTTGAATTAACATATCATAAAAATGAGGCTGCTCTTAACACTGCTCTTGGTGAAAACCAACGTATGGAAGCAGAGCTGGCTGATCTACGCTCACAGCTTGCTAAGGTACTTCATGAGTGAAGAAATGCAGTGGGGGGAAGGCTGGAGTGGGATGCTGGTCTTTCATTTTTTTTTGAAAATGCTGTGTCATCGAATAGGAGATGGTATCTGTATTTTCTTAAATTGTAAAAAGTGTTTTAAATATTGAACTTTTGTGCATCGTGAAGTATGGTGTGCCAAGGAAAGATTGGCTGCCAGCCATTTAATTTTCCATACCTTTCTTTATCTTATTTTGGTTAACTTTGTCTTTTCTATTTATTGTTTTACAATGAAAAAAAATTATGAAATGTTTGCCATTGTGATAGGGCGTGTAATGATGTATCAGACAGTTGATTTTGAGGAGCCTAAAGATGATTTATCTAACTTACTTGCTATTGCAAGTTGAAAGTATGCATACAGTATATGTTGTTAGCCTGTGATTAGTCTCTCTCTTAACTTACTCAAGTTACTATTTCAATGTTAACAAACTATTTAATGATTTTATTTTTAAATTATGGTTGAACTCGATCCAATTCTCATCTTATCAGCCTACCACTAATGTTCCCTAGCTGGATGAAAGTGTTAAAAATTCATAGGTTTTTGTTCCTATTGTCAAGGACCAGACCAGACCACCTCAAAATATTCTAAGAAGGTAACCTAATGTTTCTTATTTTAAAGACAAATGTAAGGTGGTGTTCCAGTTGCAATTTGTCTGGCCAAACTACTCAGCGTTGGGCAAAACACAATTTATTCAAACACTATGGTTAAAATACAACAAAAGAAAGGAAATTAAAATAATTTAACGCTTGGAAAACTCAACCAAATAATAGATCAACTATTACTAATTATTTGTTCCAATACAGTAACATCCCATGAGCACACTCCTTTGCAAAAAGGCAGATTCAGAAATCAGATTTTCTCACATGCAACCCAGCAGCGCAGAGAGGAAAAAATATCAAGCGAAAACTCACAGCAGCTTTTACTGCAGCTTCCAGCCTGGTTGAGCCTCCAACAGCAACTGATGCTGAATCTCAAAGCTTAAGAACTAGAAATCCTGTCAGCAAGAGCTGGCTGCACCTATCCAGGCTGCTTCTATTGTTCCAACTTCTCCTCTTTTTTTTTTTTTAAATAAAGAACCAAAGCCTCTTAAGCTGTTTACTATACTATACTGGCTTTTAAACTAGACAGTTCATTGCCCCTGTCTTAAAATCTCTCTTTTTGAAAAAGACCAGGACAGAATAATCTCTTAAAGCCACAGCATTGTCACAGTATCCCAGGAGTGCAATTGTAGATTTTTGTCTTCTGATCTATTTGAAATACCTAACTCAAGCTTCGAATCATACTAGAGACAGCTTTGTGTGTATGTGTGTGCACGTGGTGAGGGGACTTATGAGTCTTGCTGTTTTGCGCACTCTCTCTACTGTTTTGACTGATCAAAGGATAATTTTTGTAACTATTTTTTAGGCTGAAAGTTCACTGGCTGCTGCCAAAAAGCAGTTGGAAGGGGAGACACTAATGCGAGTCGACCTGGAGAATCAGTGTCAAAGCTTGACAGAGGAACTGGCATTCAGGAAGAATGTGTTTGAAGAGGTAGGAGTGTAAGCTGTTGCTAAAACAAAATTTTTGTTTTAGTGGCTGAGTACTGTTTGTAATCTTAAGAACCGTGGACATTTTTAGCACCTAGAGAGGAGTAAATAACTGTTATGTTCTGGAGCAGCAGGTTAATCTGGATACATTACGAAGTGTTGCATCTTGGGTTTACCTATGAACGCTGACTTTTATGTTTTTTTGAAGAAAAGACATTTTTACCTCATTGCAAATTTGGGAAGTTTTCGTTTTGACTTGCTGGTTCATCCTGTACATAACTAATTTATTATACCTTTAAGTTTAGTTAAAAATAATCTTCAGCTCAAACGCCTGCAATAAGTGCACAGAATTTATAGTGTTTTTTTTTAAATTAAATTCCTATTTGATCTCTTGTAATCTGTAACATTTCATTTCAAATACTACACAAATTTTAATGCAAACTTTAATGAGCATGTCCTGCTTAATTATAGGAGGTGCGTGAAACTAAGAAGAGACAAGATCGTCGTGTAGTTCAGGTGGACTCTGCACGAAAAATTGACTATGACTCCAAATTGGCAGAGGCCCTTCAAGACCTTCGAAAACAGCATGAGGATCAAGTGAGACAATACAAGGAAGACTTGGAACAAACTTTCCAAGCCAAGGTAACTGGACTTAATCCAATTTGGCAATATAGCCAACATTTTTAATATCTCAAATCTTTTTAGCTTGCTTTGATCTATTCTATTTTTGATTAGCCAATAGATTTGTTTAAAGTCAGTTCCAATTCCATTCCTTGATTTGACTTTGCATGTTTTTAACTTTAATAGCTGGAAAATGCTAAAGTAGCATTTGATAGAAATGACAAAGCTATGGGCACAGCAAGGGAAGAACTACAGGAGGCATACCTCAGAATTGAGAGTCTGAACTACCAACTTGGAACCCTGCAGAAGCAGGTAAGCAATTAACAAAGCATGCAGTATAATTTTTGGATTTTTAAGGGGGATGGTGGTTAAAGAATAGGTTTTATTTTGAGCACTATTCGAAAGGCTATATTTATTAGCCAGCTTTAAGATAGGCTCTTACCTGTTCAAAACATCTATCAACAATAGTGTAGGATTGACATATTTTGTATAGCAGCCTGGAGAGAGTGCCAGGTTCTCTCATTTTTCTTAATCAATAACTGTTCATTTTTTTTTATTGCCCATTAGGATTGTGAACTAGTATTTGCAAATTGGTTAATCTTTTTTGGATTGTTAAAATTGTATTGTATGGATTGCTGGCTCTGGTATCATAACTTGTATACAGAAAGAGATAGCAACGGGCTAATGCTAGGTTTTTTTTGTTTCTACAGTTGAACCACAGAGCATTAGCATTTTTGTATATATTTTAGAATTAATTTAGGTTTTGATCAAAAGTTTGAATTTAATTGGACTAAACCTTGCTAAAAATGTATATGGTGCTGCCCCATTAGCAATTCCCCTACACAAATTCACTTGCAAACCATAATATAAATCCTACTGACCTTCCAAGTGCCACACCTAATGCTGTTGCTAGTGGTCACTGTATGGCAATGAAATCCCACTGACCTGTTGTTGGGAGCTTCTCATTGAAGCTTGAGTTTGGGTATTGAGGGACATCTCTTACATTTTGTGTTAATGATGACAAATTATTCTAGCCTAATTGTTTCAATCAAACTTTTTTTTCATAGTCTGCTGCTTCTGAGGCTCGAATTAGGGAGTTGGAAGAGATGCTGGCTAATGACCGTGATAAATATCGTAAGATGTTGGAGGCAAGAGACCGGGAAATGGCTGAGCTGAGGGATACTGTGGAGGTGCAGTTGCAGGAATATGAAGACCTCCTTGATGTTAAACTGGCTCTTGACATGGAAATTCAAGCCTACCGTAAACTCCTGGAAGGCGAGGAAGAGAGGTAGCTGTAGCTATGATCTAACTGGAGTATGGTTGTAAAGCTTTGATTTTTCTCCTTGGTCAAGCATTTTCATATTGAAGAATTGAAGTCTCAATTTTCTCTTACCAAGAGTAAAAAGTGTGAATATTTTACAGACTTAAGAGTATTTACCGATTTTAATATAATGTAAGTTAAATTTTCCCAAACACCTTGATTTTTTGAGATTTAGCTTGGAACCCTCCCCACCCGCACTAAATTTGGACATAAAGTTGCTGACTTTAAGCAGCAGGGAGAATCTCCTGAAGTATTTACCTTATTTTTCTTGAACAAAAACTTTGCAATTTTATCATCCGTTAAGATTTTTGAATTGTTTTTTAAGTGTTTCTGCTGTAATTAGAAGAATATATACTTGGCCAAAGAATTTATTAGAAACAGTCTCTTAAAGTCCAGCTCCGACAGTGTAGGTGAGTTTCAGTGCAGTAGTTGGATGCTGTAACTCCACTATGGTATTGGACAAAGATCCTGTGCCCTGCCTTCAGTCGAAAGATCACTTGAGCAATAGTCGATGAAGGTGTGGTATTTTAGCTGTAGAATGAAGTATAGTGAATGGCCTCGGTCATCTTGGGGTTTTGGAAGAAACATATGGACTATCCAAGAATGGACTTACAAATGCAGTTTTGGTGCTGAGGTGAAGTTGGCAGCCATCTTGTGTCTTTTGTGCTTGAGAGCTGATCCCTGGTTGCAGAAATTGCAAGCAACAGCATGTTGGAACATGGGAACAGAAGGGTGTCGCTGATAAATGTTTAGTGAGTATAGACGGGAAGAAAAAGAGTCAGGGATGCTGTAATTGTGTTGATATGGGTTGGTAAGAATGAAACCAGGAGGGCTGGGTAGTAGAGGAGAGATTGGTAATTTTGTGTGGCTGGCTGTTGAAGATTGTAAAGAAGAGAATGTTCTCAGTCCCAGCAAGTACTTGTAACTGGTTAGGGTTGGAATGTGTGGCCAAATTTTTATTAACAGATTGATGTAGAAAACTATGGGAGGCAGGCTCTGATTTGGGAGAAGGAAACAAACTTCAAGAACTTTGGAGAGCAGTGAGAAGATGGATGTTGTCCTAAATTTTGAATTTTTGAAGTGATGTGATTATTTCAATTGGGAGTGAAGAAAGGGAACTACCCATAATTCTAAATAATATTTAGAAAGGAAAGTTGAGTCCTTGGTTGCTCAGGCAGGTTGGACTAAAGGAGTTGGGTCACATGGACAAGGTGAGCACTGAAGTCTGACAGATTGAAAAGATACTATGATTTCCTTTGAAAAATAGGACATTCTTTCTCCCTGGTATCCTAGGTAATGGATGTAGAGGACAATGCAGGATTGGAGTTGGCCTGATCAGTGATCAAGGCTAACAGAAATGACAGCATTTGAAGAATGTGGCCATGAAAATTTCTATGGTATAGTGAGTGACACCCTTTTTACAGCAGAAAGGACGATAGTACAGAATGGAAATTGGAATTAGCAAAGATGAATAATTACAGTGCAGATTAAGGAAGGTGCTAGATGAGTAGTGTGAGGCATGGAATAGAGTCAGTGCATGAAGGAGTTGTGGTTGAGTGACCATAGTGTGACTTTTAGTCATGTTTGTATCAGTAATACTGTACATTTAGCTAATTGGTGGAGAGGGGAGTGACCTGCTTTGGTACACCATGCATATAATCCATAGCCCAATTTGTTAAATGAAGCCATCATAGTAAGATGGTGAACGATGTAGTCTTTCAGGGGAATATATTCCAGAAGGAAGTCTTCTGAGTGATTTTTGTTTGCACTGTCTGCAGAAACTGGTTTGAAATATTGAATTAGTAGAGATGCCTCCTTGGAAATGCTGATACGTAGTATGCCCATTGGTTTTTCATTTAACTGTTTCAAAACTGTCATTTTCTTTTTCTTTTAAAATATCGCCACTCCTTGTCATGAACACGTGCCCCAGCACTGTGGCTCAGTGGTTAGCACTGCTGCCACACAGCGCCAGGGACCCGGGTTCGATTCCACCCTCCGGTGACTGCAAACTCCACACAGACACATTCTCCCCATGCCTACGTGGGTTTCCTCTGGGTGCTCCAGTCTCCTCCCACAGTCCAAAGATGTGCAGGGTAGGTGGATTGGCCATGCTAAATTGCCCATAGTGCCCAGGGATGTTTAGGTTAGGTGGGTTAGACGTGGGGAATCAGGAGTAGGGGAATGGTCTGGGTGGGATGCTCTTCAGAGGGGCAGTGGAAACTTGTTGGGCCGAATGGCCTTTTTCCACACTGTAGGGATTCTATGATCTATGATCTATTCTATGATACTAATGTCTCTATACTCTTTTTAGTCCTGAACATGTTAGCATTTCTCCAGTTAACATTGTGCTCTAGCACCGAATTGATCTAATCACAAATTGTTATGTAGTACTGTACATTTGTGCATTACTCTTTTTCTTCTTGATCCCAAATAACACATCCCATCTAATTGCCAGTTTGTACAACTGCTCCACATTTTTTGTTGACTTAAGCCCCTCTTCGATTCCAATCTTATCCATAGGACATAGAAGCAGAGGTAGGCATTTGCTTCAGCAGATCTGCTTTGCCAATCAGTGAGATAATAGCTGACCTGATCACCCAAACTCTTTTCCTGCCTCCTTAATCCATACCCTTTGATTCCCTTACTGATTTTTATAAGATCTATCTCAACCTTCAACATAGTTGCCAAACTTCTACAGCCTTCTGTAGTAAAGAATTCCACAGATTGAGTAGTCAAAGTTCTTCATCTGTCTTAAATGGGAGATCCATTACTTTGAAACAAGCCTTCTGTTTCTAGACTGTATTACAAAGAGAAACAGCCTCCCTGCATCTATCCTAAGAATATTGTACATTTCAAAAAAAGTTACCTCATTCTTTTGAACTCCCCAACAGTCAGCACCTTTACAAATGCTTCCCATTAAGCCTCTCTTCTGTTTTGAGTCTCCCCTCCAAACATCTGTATTTAGCCACTAGCTGTGGAGCTAGGTTCTGTGTGAACACAGGTGCTCAGTCCTACCTTTTTGTTTTGAATGTCTGTCTAACTCTTCCACCTGTTTTTTATATATTTATCAAATTTTTGTCTTTTTTTTTCTATTCAGTCCTCTAGGATTTGTAACTTCCTTTTTTATTCTTAAAACATTTGAGATAACTGAAGCAATATCTTATTCTCATGTGTGTGGTTACAGTGCTTTCAGCTCAGCCGATTTTTAACACTTTTTCTCTTTCCTAGCTTTCTCTCCTGGTCCTCGGAGCAAAGTACTTTAATCTAAGCTTTGTCATCCCTCTTTGTGTAGCTAGGTGCATGCTCATTGTGCTAAATTTTGCTGCTGTGGCTGGACAATAGAAGGCATTGTAGTGGGCATAGTAGGCATAGTGAGAAATTTTTTTTAAAAAGCATAATAGAATGGCCCGTGCGCACAAAGTGCGATGCAGGTAGTGGGAATCAGGCCTGTGCTTGTTCAATCGTCAGTCTGCAGAAGATGAGTGAATCAAAGCTTTTGTTTGTTTGCTTTTCAGATTGAAGCTGTCTCCAAGTCCTTCCTCTCGCGTTACAGTGTCCCGTGCTACATCCAGCAGTGCTGTTCACACCTCCCGAGCCAAACGCAAGCGTGTAGAAATAGAAGAACCTCATGAAAGCAGCAGTCGTATACAGCAGACTCACACTAGCAGTGGTTCGATAAGTATTGAGCCAACTGATCTTGAGGGAAAATTTGTTTGTCTCAGTAATAAATCTGAGAAGGTTAGTTCGAAGAGAAGTGTGAAGTTGTTTGGTTTGCCTTTTTATTAAGGGAAAAACACCAATGTGTTGACTTGTGATGTGTTGTTGTAGACTTGCAATTGACCCCAGTAGCATTTGGATTCTTACATTCTCTTGGATGCTGTGAAGAACAGTGCTTTTGAGTGGTTCAGAATATTACTCCCCTTCCCTATTTCTTTATTTTAAATTTTCTGTGCTAGCCCTGTAGTTTCTTTAGTGGCAATGTCACTGGCTTAGTATTCCAGAGCCACAGACTAATGTTTTTGAGACATGAGTTTGAATCCAATCATGGCAGATGGTGAGATTTGAATTAAATAAAGAAAGGCTAGTCTAATGGTGATCATGTAACAATTATTATCTCAAAGAAATTTGAATCACTAATTTCCTCCTCATGAAGGGACGGAAATCTGTCTTTTACATGATCTGACTAATATGTGAACCTACAGCAACGTAGTTGGCTTCTAATTGCTCTCTACTGCAAGCTACTCCAGATATATCAAACTATCTGCTACAAAGACTCATGAAAGGAGTTTAAGCTGGTTGGACCACCCGGCATTGATCTAAGCACCAGATACGACAACAAGCTGCAGAGCTGGATGAACACAGCAGGCCAAGCAGCATCTTAGGAGCAGAAAGGCTGACGTTTCGGGCCTAGACTCTTCTTCAGAAATGGGGGAGGGGAAGGGGGTTCTGAAATAAATAGGGAGAGAGGGGGAGGCGGATAGAAGATGGATAGAGGAGAAGATAGGTGGAGAGGAAACAGACAGGTTGAAGAGGCGGGGATGGAGCCAGTAAAGGTGAGTGTAGGTGGGGAGTTAGGGAGGGGATAGGTCAGTCCAGGGAGGACGGACAGGTCAAGGGGGCGGGATGAAGTTAGTAGGTAGGAGATAGGGGTGCGGCTTGAAGTGGGAGGAGGGGATAGGTGGGAGGAAGAACAGGTTAGAGGGGCGGGGACGAGCTGGGCTGGTTTTGGGATGCGGTAGGGGGAGGGGAGATTTTGAAGCTTGTGAAATCCACATTGATACCATTGGGCTGCAGGGTTCCCAAGCGGAATATGAGTTGCTGTTCCTGCAACCTTCGGGTGGCATCGTTGTGGCACTGCAGGAGGCCCAGGATGGACATGTCGTCTGAGGAATGGGAGGGGGTGTTGAAATGGTTCGCGACTGGAGGTGCAGTTGTTTATTGCGAACCGAGCGTAGGTGTTCTGCAAAGCGGTTCCCAAGTCTCCGCTTGGTTTCCCCGATGTAGAGGAGGCCACAACAGGTACAGCGGATGCAGTATACCACATTGGCAGATGTGCAGGTGAACATCTGCTTGATGTGGAAAGTCGTCTTGGGGCTTGGGATGGGGGTGAGGGAGGAGGTATGGGAGCAGGTGTAGCACTTCCTGCGGTTGCAGGGAAAAGGGCCGGGTATGGTGGGGCTGGAGGGGTTTGTGGAGCGGACAAGGGAGTCACGGAGAGAGTGGTCCCACCGGAAAGCAGATAAGGGTGGGGAAGGAAAGATGTCTTTGGTGGGGTCGGATTGCAGATGGCGGAAGTGTCGGAGGGTGATGCGTTGGATCCGGATGTTGTTGGGGTCACCCCCATTTCCTACCTACTAACCTCATCCCGCCCCCTTGACCTGTCCATCCTCCCTGGACTGACCTATCTCCTCCCTAACTCCCCACCTACACTCACCTTTACTGGCTCCATCCCTGCCTCTTCAACCTGTCTGTTTCCTCTCCACCTATCTTCTCCTCTATCCATCTTCTGTCCGCCTCCCCCTCTCTCCCTATTTATTTCAGAACCCCCTTCCCCTCCCCCATTTCTGAAGAAGGGTCTAGGCCCGAAACGTCAGCCTTTCTGCTCCTATAATGCTGCTTGGCCTGCTGTGTTCATCCAGCTCTGCACCTTGTTGTCTCGGATTCTCCAGCATCTGCAGTTCCTACTATCACTACAACAAGCCCAGCCAGGTTGACCCTGCAAAGGTTTCCTTATTTGCCTGTGGGGCCTTGTGCCAAAATTAGGAGAGCTGGCCCACAGACTGGTCCAGCAACATTCTGATACTGTGTAAAAATACTACTTGGGGTATGTCTGTCTGATCCAGATTCCACTGTCACTGTCACTGTCCCTGGGTATGCTTTTTCCCATTAGCAGGACAGACCTACCAGAGATGGCAGCACAATGTATGGTGGGGAGAGTGTTTTCACAGGCATCTTCAACATTGACTCCAGACTCCATGATGTCTCATGACACCAGGTCACACAAGGTCCAGGAAATCTCTTGACTATCATTTACTGCGCCTCTGTGGTTCATTTTGAAGTTGTATTCTTTGTACACCACCTAAAGGAAGCAGAGGGTGCAAGGGCTGTAGGGGACTTCAGTGTCTACACACTGCAAGTGACTCAATACCACAACTAACCAAGTTGGCCAAGTCCTAAAGGATATAGACTGGATCTGCGACAAAGGAGGGAACCAACAAGTGGGAAAATGTATCATCTTCACCAGTCTGTTGCAGATGCATCTGCCCATGATGTTATGCCTATTCCTAATGTTGCTGTCACTGTGAAGACAAATTCCAGTCTTCATGCTCAGGATGCCCTCCACTGTGTTGCACTACCACCATTCTAACTAGGAAAGACCTCCTACTTATACTGTATATAATAATTGATTCACTGTCACTCTTGTTTGCAGGATCAGCCACTGGGTGGTTGGAGACTGAAGAGACAAATTGGAGATGGGGAAGAAATGGTCTACAAATTCACTCCCAAGTACACTCTGAAGGCTGGACAAGAAGTCAAAGTGAGTTGCACATTTTGTCTTATAAATCATTTAACTATGTAGAATTAATTGTCAGAAATTTGGTTCTCATTATATTGCTGTGAGAGTAATAACTCTTAACAATACTGAAATGGTAGTGTACCTAATCCATTTTTTCCTGTATGGAAGAGATGAATACTGGAGTTGATGTAAAACAACTGGATTTGCAGCTAGCATGCTGTGGTATGGATGCTTTGTTACCCAGCTGCAATTGCACATATTCTAGCGGTCGTGGAGTTGGGGGAGGTAAATTGCATGTTTGACTGAATTTTGCTGTTTGGGAGGTGGCTAGATGAAAGCATCACCAAAAATAGGCAGGATTAACTTTGGGGTACTTTTCCAATATAAAGGGACAACTAAAGCATCGTGACCCATCTTGTTTCACAAAAGTATGTGATTGAATCCCTTTTTTCGAAGGAAAAACTGTGACAACGGTTTGCTATTGTCCAAAATGTATTAACTTTTTTGTTTTGTCTAGATCTGGAGTGCAGATGCTGGTAAAGCCCATAGTCCTCCTACTGACCTTCTGTGGAAGAATCATAGCTGGGGCACTGGTGATGAGATTAAGACTGTCCTTGTCAACTCTGATGGAGAGGTATAGCTGATAGACATCTTTCTACTGGTGTTTTAAATTCTGAATTTTCGCATGTCAAATAAATGTTATAAAATTAAGGCAAATGTGCTCGCTGTTTCACCCCACAAATTTTAAGCAAACAAACAGCATTGACTATGAAATGAACTTCAGATCTTTGTGTGGTAAAAACCATTCACTCAACCTCTGCAGCATTGCCTAGTTCTGTCTCCGTAAAAATCCTTTTGTGTGCATAATATGCACCACACAAATTATCAACTTATCCAAGACATTGTTTCTCCTATGTATGTTGTCCTTGTCTAGGTTTTGTTGTTCCAGGTATGGTCTTGTTTCATTATCTAAGCAGTTAATTTTGGTTGGAGCTGAACATTGCATTATTCATTGAATGGCCCCATTTATGACCTTTTAGTTGTATGCTTGAAGGAGAAGTTTCTTTTTTTTTTTTTAAAAAAAAAAACAACTGAAGATGATTAGGTCAAGGACCAAGAACCTCCTGCATCAATGTCCTGGGCTGCAACATCGAATTCATGACCTTTGAACTACTTTGTGTTTCTCTATTTTTCCCCTTTGTTCTCTTCTGCAATGTTACAGCAATGCTAGCTTTAGTTCATTTCTGATGGGTTTTAAGTATGAAACGTCAGTACTCATCACTTCTGAACAGAGGTTCACTTTTGGTTGTGTAATTTCTGTTCATCTCAAAATATTGGCTGTAGTCAGCCACTCTGTGGATTGATTTTTATGAATAACCACAAAATATTTTGATTGTAATTCCATCTGTTTCCTGTAGTGAACATTTGCTCACCAGCATGCAACTAATACAATTAGAGTTCTTGTTAACTCCTGGTCAAGTTAACAGTAGTATAAATATTCAGTAGTAATTATGGTGCAGCAGCAAATGAATAATAAGACATTTCTGCATATTATTAACTATTAATGCAGAATTATTCTGAAGTAAATACTTTTAAAATGCAGAAGTATGTGTGGTTTTTTTCTTTAATGGTGAGTTAATTAAAACTTTAATACTAACTTGAATTTCCTTCTTGCACAGGAAGTTGCAGTAAGAAATCTCCGAAAAACTTACCATGAAGATGTGGAGGAAGAAGCTGAATTTGGAGAGGAAGATCTTTTCCACCAACAGGTAAAGTGAAAGTTTTTTTTTTGTTTTAAAACCAAATTTCTGGCAGCATTTGGGTTAGAAAGAAAGATCATTAACTTGAAACATTGCCACTCTGGGAAATTCAGACCAATCTGTGACCCAGACCTTTTAACACAAGGGATCTCTGCATTTCTGGGAGGATATTCAGCTTGGGTTTCCTTCAGAAATGCAAAGCCACGTTTCCATTCTGACGCTACTTTTGTAGTGTAGAATAGTGAGAAGAAGGAAAAACCACAACCCCTTTACATAGCAATCAAGCTGAAGTATTCTGAAATTTAAAGATCCTGGTGATAGAAGGTATGTATATAAGTGTGATGCTGGTGTGTCAGGTTCAGGTGGTTGAAGGTGGCCAAGTAAATATTTATGGCTGATTTGAGGTGGACTGGAAGTTTGTGTAGTGTTAGCTGCTTGAGATCTAAATGGTTGAACGTGATGCGGTTAGGGTTGTCTGAGGCATTAATGTGAACTGTAGTTCCTCAAATTAAATTAGATATTTAGTAGTCTAACTTTTCCTGAGTAGCTATTTTACCTGATCTGATCGGAATATTAAAAGTCTTTTTTTTTTTTTTGAAACAGAATCTTTTGGAAGGCTCCAGATGTAGAGGAATTGCCCAAAGGATTCAATTTCCAAGGCAATCCCTCAAGTCTGGTAAGGTAGTGATTCTTGAGGCTCCCCATGTGCAACTTTCATCTGTACAGGCATGATGATTGTCTGTCCAGCTGAAAATCTACCCCATTAAACTTGAAACGTGAACCCTGAAACATAAGGTTTGGGGTTAGAATGAGTGACACTAGTGATACATCACATTGACAGCTAGGCAAGAAGGAGTTAATGACCCACATGTTTCAAGTTCCTTGTGTAAATAGTTAACACTAATTATTTTATTACCAAATGTTCAAAATAGAAACCACTTTATAGGTAGATCAGATTACTTAAGAGGACTGACCCCTGCAGTCCATACCTTACAACAAGCTGTTTCTCTGTCTACCATAGCTGCTTGATCTCCTGAGAAGTTCACTTTCTTTCAATTTGGCTTTCCAGAATCTGCAATATTTTACTTTTAATTGTCTATTAAGTAACATTTTGAACCTGAACATTTCTTGCAGAAGTATTTTTTCTGAAGTGTGCTTTCATGACCACCTCCTAATCAATAGCTACCATGTGCCCTGGTTTTGCATGCAGAATTTCAAATCTCTAATGTCATGTGATTTGACTATCTCTCTACCAACCAGGTAGAATTGGATTGAAACTTAATATGGTATTAGCATAAATGCAGATTTGTATTTTACTCACTAGGTTGTGAATAAGTGGAGTGTAAATAAACATTAAATTTACCAAATCATTTTAGTCGGTTATGATTTGTATAATTGTTTCTCAAGAGTTCTGTTTTCTATTTTAGGGTGACCCAAGGACCACTTCCCGACAATGTGCAGTCATGTGATCAGAAATTTACTATTCTTCATTCAGGAGAAAACTCCCTTTTATCCAGAGCCACTGAGAAATATTTTTGTACACTGTTTTTCTTTAATGTTTCAAAACCATTCTAGTCTAGTACTTTTATGACCATTGTTTTAATTTGTAAAACCTGAGTTCTGAAGGGGTATTTTTAAGATTTTTCTTTGGCAAAACATTTATTCAAATGTGATGTTTAAAAACTGAGGTTACTAAAATTTTACATGGGGGTGGGAAATAGATGAATATTTTTAGTCATATGACCTCCTTGTGTACAGATTTGGGTTCATACATCTGGGATTTAACCATGGAACTGCATCACAGACTGTGTATTAATCAGAATTTGGTTATTCTGCAGTTTTTCAAACCCAAAGGGTTGTAAAAACTCCACCAAATTGGTGTTAACCTAGTACCCAGACAAAATTAACATTGTTAGGAGTATGAAACTCCTTCAAAACTGTGGGTGGAGTATTCTGTACTCCACTGCAGAATTCTCAGGTCTTTTACAGAAATCATGCTAAAAAGATTTCTACTGTGATCCTGCCCATTTATTTGGCTGTTCTGTATAAATACTGCCGTACTAAAACTGGTATATGTGATCTATAAGAAATTTGTAATATGGAATGTGAACTGTTGAAATGCCTGAATAATCAATGATCTGGAAATGAGCCTAGATATTATTTTAATTGGGTGAATTGTGATCATATGCAGTTATTAAATGGAAACATAAGCATTGCATGAAAAACAGCAGAATACACCAAACGTTTTATTTTAATCTTAAGTGCTGCATTGCTCTCATTTTCATAGCAAAGCCTGAAACTGGTGTCTTTGAAGTTACATTCTTTTTTAAGTGTCTGATTATTTGAATCCTTTGTTTAAATACCATTTGGGTACTTTTTACTGGCTGGTGTATTAATATTTGGATGGTGGCTTATGGAAGCTTGTATTTTTTTTTTCGTTGCTTGATGGCTGGTTAGTACTTAACTGATAATTTGTAATTGCTTGCTCGTTTAGTAGCATATTAGATTGCCTTCTAATTGAAAGTTGAGAAGTGAAAAAAATGTTTCTTAACACTGGGACAGATATTAAGCTTAATTTGACAAGATAGTTTAGCAGTTCAGAAACCATCTTAATTTGAAAACTCCTGTTTAATAAATCATGTAGCCAGTATTCAACTGAATATATAACAGCAAAATCATAAATTTTGGCACTATCCAAGATTTTTAAAAAATACTGCAAATCTGAAGTGTTTTCTTAAAGTAGCGCAATCATGTTCAAAGCAAAGTGTTTGTTTATTTTGTAGTCACCAAAGTTGTCAAGGAGTGTGGCTACTTAAGAAATTCTAAGCAATAAAATAGTGGAAAACCAATTTGCAGTTAACCCTTTAGTAGTCGTCTTGGTATCTTTGTCCCATGAGTTGTTTTCAGTTAGTTAGTTATATACTTTTTGGTGGGAGGTGGAATTGCAAAAATCATGTTCCTTGTATTTTTTTTAAGGATGGACACATTTTGAAGTACTGTACCTGTACAGTTAATGTATGGAGGGGTGGTGGGGAAGTTGTCATTGTCACACTAATGTTTTATCCCACATACTTTGATTTAATATATCATATATATGGTTAAATTTTATGCTTATCATTCATTTTTATTAACTTAAATTCTGTTTCTCAGTTACTTTTATGGGCTGAATACAAATTGAATGTTAAGATTAAATAGAATTTCTTTAAATACATGTATCTAATAGTTCTAGTCTAAAGTATTAGTGGCTTTTCATAAATTTATGGTTGTCTTAGTATATTAGAATTGACTGTGAAAAGTAGAATTAAGTGCCCTAAATTTGATGTTGCTGAGAAATTTTATGGCCTGAGAAACAGAATTTTAGATAAAGCCTTATGCTTTAATATTAAACTTTTGACCTATAGTTGATGGTATTTTTTAAAAAAAATCATGTGCACACTTTTTTTAACAAGATATAAATATACTGATGAAAATCATGATGCACGTTGCTGTGAGGTTTCTTTTAAACCTTTGAAAGGCTTCATTGCAAGGTTTCTGGTGTTTCCCTTGTAAAATCAAACACTTTTTTTCCCACTGATTAAAAAGAAACCCATAAAGCACACATGGAATTCAGTTTGATTCATTTCATTTTTGAGGTTTTTCATTCAAATGTTTGTAATTTCTCTCTCTCACCCCCTCCCTTTTTTCTTCCCTTCCCATTTTCCTCTCCCTTCCCTTTTTTTTTCTTCTATCTCTCCCTGCCCCTCGCCAAATTGCATGGCAGCATAATGGTGAATTTGCCAGACTAGTAATCCTCAGGTCTTTAAGAACTGTCAACCATTCTCTCATTTCCTTCAGAGAAGGAAATCTGCCGTGCTTACCTGGTTTGGTGTATATGGGTATGGGGGTGTGCGTGTGTCTGTGTGCGTGTGTAATCACTCCAGACTCTTGGTAATGTATTTGACATTAACTGTCCTCTCAAATTATCTATCTAACAAGCCATTCAGGGATTATTGGGCATGGTCATTAACCTTTCCAGCAACATTTGAAAGTCAAAGGATTTAAACCTAACTTTACCAGAGGCAGCTGTCTTTCTAACAAATAAACTACAATCAAATCGAATGACTAAATTTACCTTTCAGATTTCTTGGCAGAAAAGTAGACTTCTCTCTCTACTTGTTCCATCTTCTTAAATAAATCTTCATAGCTCACATGAATTACTAATGTGTTGTGTTTTTTTGAGCAATGAAAGAGGGTATTATTTCGCTTTTAAACTTGTGGTAAAACACTGTATAGATTGTGTAATTGAAGGTGCAGTACCTTTTTTTGCCCTGGTTAGTTTGAGTCATATGTTAATGATCTACCAAAGCATCGCCATCAGCTATATCAGGAACTGTTGAAACTGACACCACCCTCCTGTGGAAAAAGTTGCCCCTCCAGGTCTGTTTTTAAATCTTTCCCTCTCACCTTAAACCTATGCCTCTAGTTGTGGATTCCTACACCCTTTGGAAAAGACCTTAGCTACTCACCTTTATCTGAAGGTGAATATGAAATACCCTGAATAGACTAAATGCTCTCAATGAAAAAGGTGCTGTACCTAGAATGCATTTGATAGAATCAACACGTTATCGTAAATATCACTGCAAGTGGAACTTCAATCTGCCCTTGTAACGTAAGTATTTGCTTTCACTTTAAGCAAAGGAAATTTGAATTTGCATTTGATTCTTGGGTTGAAAAATGTTGTCTTTTCACCAAATAAACCAGTCTCATTGCTCAGATTATTTTCTTATATGGCAATGACATGCCAAAATACAATGTTCTGTCTGTAATTTGTAAGCATACATTTTATAACTGGAATTTTTTTGAGCATTCAATAAATGTGGTTTTGCTTATTTTGAAATTGTATGTTTGTTATTAAGCAGTTCCTGTCTTGTACTGTTTTGTATGAGTTTCAAAAAGCATTTTTGTGATGCTTTATGGCAGGATGATTGAGAAGTGGCCATGATATGAGGACAAAACTGAACACTTCTTTCCAAAATAAGAGTTTGAATTCTTAGAGTCAGGTTCATACAGCATGGAAACAGACCCTTCAGCGCAACGTGTCCATGCTGATCCAATTTGCTGAACTGAACTAGTCCTGTATGCCTGCATTTGGCCCATATTCTTAACTTTTCCTGTCCATGCACCTGTCCAGATGTCTTTTGAATGTTAAGTTGTACTTGTGTCCACCGCTTCCTCTGGCAGCTTGTTCCATACACGCACCGCCCCTACTCTGGGGAAAAGACCTTAACTAGTCACTTTTTTAATCTGTGCCCCTCATGACCTTTTTTTATAGAGGTTTATAAAATCACCCCTCAGCCTCCTACACTTTTTGGCAGGGAGGAACGCCACATCTTCTCATAACTCAAATGCTCCAGTACCCCTAGGTCTCTCTGTTCGACAGCTCTTCCCAGGGCCCTAAAATTAACCTGTTCTGGTTTGTCTTACCAAAATCCAACACCTCATTTATCTGAATTAACCTCCATGTGCCATTCCTTGGTGCACTGGCTCAGTGGATTTTGTTACTGTAATGTAAATTGAAGCATTTTGTGTAAGTAGAACAGTAAGCTTTGGCTTTGTGGTAGCTGTCTTGCCTCAAAGGATCATGGGTTCAAGTCCCACTCCAGAGTCTTGAGTACATAATCCAGTTTAATGTTTCCATGCTACAATGTCCGAAATGCTGTTAATAACAATAATAATCCTATCATCCTGACCAATATTCATCCCTTCAGGATGACCTATCTGGAATGGATGTTGGTGCCATTGGTTATTGCATCTCTAATCATTTGTAAAATGTATATTTTTCAAAAAATCCATTTGACTGAAGTGTTTTTACATGGTACAAGCATGTGAATCTCCAAGTTTTGTTTTAAAGAAAAATGTTTTGTATTCCATAATTTTTATAGAATTCCTACAGTGTGGAAACGGGCCCTTCAGCCCAACAAGTCCACACCGACCCTCCAAGCATCCCACCCAGACCCATCCCCCTATAAACCCACCTAATCTACACATCCCTGAACGCTATGGGCAATTTAACACGGCCAGTCCACCTAACCTGCACATCCTTGGACTGTGGGAGGAAACCCCCATGCAGACATGGAGAGAATGTGCAAACTCCACACAGAGACCACCCACCTACTGCCCACAGCTATTTGCCCAGACAAGGGAGGGGGAGGTGATGGCCTAGTGGTATTATTGCTGGACTGTTAATCCAGAGACCCAGATAATGTTCTGGGGACCTGGATTTGAATCCTGCCACGGCAGATGGTGGAATTTGCATTTAATGAATATCTGGAGTTAACAGTCTAATGATGACTGTGAATCCATTGTCGGTTGTCAAGAAAAACCCATCTAGTTTACTAATGTCCTTTTTAGGGGAGGAAACTGCTATCCTTACCTAGACAACAAGGTGCAG